ACTTTGGCTCCTCAGACCCAAAACAAACAGGCCACTGCCAAGCTGGCTTGGAGTACAGGTGCTGGACTATAAAAACTAAATCTATCAGATTGCTGGTGTGAGTTAAAACAGATTTTAAACAGATTTTAGAGACATTCCCAGCTCRGTGAACTCTTGGTGCCTGTCTGGCTGCTGGTGTGACTTGCTCAGCTCAGTGCTGAGAGAGAAAGGACAGGGGTTGGTRTCTCAAATACATCCATTGTCTTTAGCTGCCATGGTTGGAAGTGTTCAATTTTATAGCACTTATCAAATCAACTGGAAAACAAGAGTGTGTCTTAATCCAGCTCTGTTCTCACAGCCTTTATGTGTGCATGGTGTGCAATTGTCTTCTGGGGTCTTTTGGGCCCTTTTTGGCTTTTTTTTTGTGGATACTTTTCCCCCTGTTCTGACCTCTGGAAGCCTACAAGTGAAGAATCATGATGATTTAAAGAAGCAAATGGAGATCTTCTTCTTTGAGCACAACCATTAGATTTTCAGAAATTCAGGGAGTTTGAAGCCACCTGTGTTCTGCTGCCTGAATTCCTAAAGGGGATGAATATTGCAGAGAGAATGGTTCACAAAATCTTTATAACTRAGGGAGAGAACTAGAAATAGAACATTTTCTGAACTGATAATGGCATTTCTTTGAAAGGTGAAGGGGACAGTTCAGCTCACCCTGTGTCACTGCTGGGACCAGGTTTGTGCTGGAGACAGTGACAATGAGGGAACCCCTCCCCTGTGCAGGGACAGCGAGGGGTGAGAGGGACAACAGGAGCTGAGCAATCCCAACCCTTCAGAGCATCCCAGGCTCTGCTCTGCTCTGCTGGGGGATTCAGGCTAAGCACAAAGTCTTCAGGCTTTTGATTTCTCATTCCTTTTAATCGTTTTATTTACTAATAAATGACAGTTTTTAAATACTGTTGCTGCCTCCTGGAGGAAGGTGGGGACAGCCAGTTACTCTGTGCCCTGTGTGTTTACTGCTCCTGGTCCAGGTGAACTCACAATTCCTGCCTGTAGCACCACAGGGATTTCAGCAAACTGTGAGCTCACACCAGGGACATGTGTGAGGCAARCTCCATTTTGTCAAAATCCCAAAAAACGCTTAGTTCTACAAGTGCTTTATTAAAATGAGGCAGGGGCTCAGCAGCTCTCACAAGRCTGCAGCTTTTCCTTTCTGCAATTAAAATTGCTGCAGCAGACACTGATGGACTGTCACTGCAGAAATCCCCTCCTGGAAATCCCAGCTATATTGTCCTCTCAGGGAAGCTTTTTCCTCATGTAAGCAGAGAAGGGTTTAATTTAACAAGGAAAACCTACAGAATTGCAAACAGTCCCCTAAAATCTCTGTTAATCTCCACAACCTTCTATTCCTTCCATAATATATGTGATAAAGGTTTTTAAAGATCCAGCCTTGGCACAAAGAGAAATGCTGCYATCAAATCTATTAGAAGTAATGACTTTGTAAAAAATAAATTTGTGCCTCATCGACTGGAGAGTGAAGATATGATTTCCTTCATTGGAATTGCTTAAGCTACAGGAATTGGAGAGCAAACATTTCATGCAGTATGATCCTTTCCCRAGTCAATATTGTCCTTTCAATCTGGAATTTCAAATTAAATATTATCCTCCCTTAAACAAAGGCATGGAAATCAATGCTATTTATCTTGTCAACTGTAGTCACATACACAAGTTTAATTTTTGTTATAGATGAAAAATGCTTGTAGACTGAAAACTGTGAAAAGAGTAAAAAAAAAATGTAAAAGTTTCCTATTTTGCTGGTTCCTGATCTCATTGCTGAGGGTGCATGATAACAGTTACCAACAAAATCAGCATTTTCAGGTAGCAGCACTGGTCCGTGCATTGTCTGGCAGCTATTGGGTTTTGTCTTGTGCTTTAATAAATTTACAGCTAAAAGCAAAATGCAGCATTTTAAAACAATGATTCTCAGGTTATCATGTGGGTAAAAATTTACCCTTGATATGAACCTTATTTCAGTGTTTTCATGGCGTTCCAGGTGAATTATATTCTATAATTAGAGTGGTGGATCAGAGCAAGCTAAAGCAGAAAATGTACCTTCAAAAAGTCCACACTGCTTTGGGGGGAGACTTCTACTATTTTTATTTATTTTTTTTAAACTGAGAAAACATGAGGAAAAATACTTCTGAAGAAGGGATAGAAGACCAATGATGTTGGGAATCACTAAAAGCCCCATCCACATTAATGCATGGAGAGGTTAGACCAACCCTTAAATATCCCATAGTGGTTAGTGAGGTTCCAAACCAGTTATCCCAGCATGGCCCCATTTCCCAGCCTCATGGYCTTCAGGGATGAGCACATCCAGGGCTTTCTCCTGCTGGTTTTCCTTTTTCCATGCACCCCCAGACAAGCTGGCTCTGGGGCTGTCGGATCCAGCCTTGAAGTCACAGGTTTTCACAAAGGAAGTTTACTCCAGYGACTTTCTGTGGACAGGAATCCATCTGGGACGTGTTTCAGGGACACAGAGCAATGATCGAGGGCTGGAGTTGAGTAAACAAAAGGTAAACAGAAAATACCACCCACATGGTGAGCACAAGCAGCAGAGCTACAGCCCCATAGTACAGGACACCAGTTATTTTCTGATTTTTGTAATGTTTTGCACTGTTTAAGGAGAGAGGGGCTGGGTTTTGGCTGTCCTTTCTACTATGTTGTGGTGAGCTCTTAATAGTGGGAGTTACAACAGGAAACCAAAGAAGAACAAATAAGGCAAATGCAGAAATTATTGTTTCCTGAATATTCAGAGTTCAACAAGAAGATTATCTAATCYTTTACCAGCCCCCAGTGCTCGTCCAGCCAGCTGTTCATTACTCCAAAATACACACAGGAAAACTGCTCTCTGGAGGGACAGGAATGCAGGAAAGTGAACTGCAAATATCTCTGCCTGACATGCAATCGGGTGTTTAATTGAACACCTGAATCTGARGGTTTTCTTGATTAATCTGAAGATTTTATTGATTTCCTGAACTTTCTTCTCCCTTGGGATGGTTGTGGGCAGTCAAGGACAAAACACACACTTTGACTTCGGACCTGGGGACTCCAAAAGCATCTGTGGCTTCTTTCTGATTCCATGCAAAAGGCTGGGAAATTTTTGAAGCCTTTTGATCCAACTTCAGATCGCAGATTTAACAGCACAGTGGAGCAGAGCAACCCACRGGCCTTTTCAGCACCATAAGTGCAGTGCTTAGCATTCAGATGGGAACTTGCATGGAGCCAAACCCAATTATTTGCAAATGAATCAGTGCCACACATCCTCAGGGGGAGGGCTGTAATGCCGAGTGCTGGTTGGAAATGTCATCTTTTCTTTGGGAGAATTCTCTGTAGATAGCGTTAGCGATTCGCAGTCTAATTTTAGGCAAACAGAAATAGGAATTCGCCTGAGCTAGCAGAGAAAATTCCAACTTTGATCAAAGGCACGGCAGATTTCAGCCTGCTCCGTTTTGAAAGTCATGACAATGTGAAAAGCAGGCTTTTCACTCCGGTTTGGCATCGGAACCAGTGCTGGCACTCATCAGCAGTGCTTTAATTATACATTTTACTAACCAGTGTGAAATACTGAGCCTGATTAAGATGGCCAAAAGCCTTCTTTACAGTTGATTTATTAGAGCTTGAAATTAACTTTTCACAGCCCAGCTCCAAGAGATCAGTAGATATGGAAATGCAGCTCTGCCTACGGTGGGTTCCCCCATGGTTATTTCCAGTGCTCTTCCAATTCCTCCCAGTGCCCAGAGATGGTGAAACACTGGTCAGCAGCATCAGCTCTCAGCCTCTTTCCTCCATTAGAAATGTCAGTGCCAACCTTGTGCTTGCCTGGAATGGTTTCCTGGTGGAATGGAACTCTGGAAAACCACCTTGGGCTCTGCTGGGTGCTCAGATGTGTGGGCTTGCCCTGGGCTGGCTGCTCTTGGAGCTGTTCCACATTGAGCTGTTTGCAGAGGAGCAGTTTTGCTGCTCCTGACACAAGATATGGTCACTTTGTGACTGGAGTAACAGGATATTGTTAGGAATTTTTAAAACAAGYCCATCATCTGTACAGAATTTCAGCTCTCTGCCAGGTGAATATGGRGAGGAGCTCCCAGCCTGATGACATTTGAAACTTTTCTCCTGCTGGAATGCTCCCAGCAACCTGAATGCATTTACAGATTTCCAAACTGCCAGGTATCAGTTCTCTGATTAAGTCAGTGGCTCTGAGCCTTTCACATCCTTGCTTTGCTTCTGTTTGATGCTGCAAGGCAAGACACAGTTTGGAGCTCCAGGTACTGCGGGGTGGAATTTCCTCCTGTTGAGGATGGCAAAAAGAGGAGCGAGGTGCTCAGTGAGGGAGAGGCTGSCTCAACATCTGGAGAACATCTGTGGATTTAAGTGGTGCCAAGTCTGAAGGTTTGGGTGGGAAAGTTGTGCAGTCATGCTTTGGCTCTCTCCATCAATAGCACAGATAAACCTTTTGGCTTTTTTATCATCCAGATTGCTCGGGAGGAGTCACATCTCCCCATCTGTGCTGGGCCCAGCCACGCTTCACCTTCATAGTGGTTTTTTGAGTTTTTAAGGCTCTGTAGGTGCCAAGATGCTCCCCACAGAGGCAGTGGTGTCCCAGCCCTGCCAGTGTGGCACGGGGGCACCTCTGTTCTGATTTCAGAAGGAGCTGTGTCATTCCTTGGGGTGACTGATGTGTCCTGTCAGCTGGGTGGGAAATCCACACCTCACAGAACTTACAAGGCMGTTCTTTGGGGCTATTTTCGCTGCTTTCTGTTTGTTTTTTGATGACTCTGTTMGGCTCAGCTTGCCCAGGGAAGTGGTGTGAGGAGCACCAGCCCTGTGGAGAGCAGGACCCCGTTACCATGGGATGGGGAACAGCAGAGGGGCCGCCCCCTTCTGCTCCAGCAACAGCTTCAGCCACGTCAGRATGTTGCCAATTAAAAATAAAATGAATGACTTTGCTCTCTCTGTAGGTGACCTGTCTCCACGATTTCTTTGGGGATGATGATGTGTTTATCGCCTGTGGTCCAGAAAAATTCCGCTATGCACAGGATGACTTTTCYCTGGATGAAAGCGGTAACATCAAACACACACTGTGGTTTTATTTGATTTCCCTTCACTTGCTTGTGATCAGATAATAATGCTGCATGCTTTTGTTCTGGTTTTTGAGACCCAGTACATGGAATTTAACATCCTTTTGTGATACTTATCCAGTCAGCAGATATTATAATCAGGCAAATACCGACTGAGGTGGCCCAAGTCAGAATAAATTAATTCCCAGAGCATTTTGACATTACTGCAGAATCTGGTAGTGTTTTTACTTTCTGTTTCATTTAGTTACAGTCAGATAAATACATTTTTTTTCAGAACTAATGATCCTTATGCACTCATGTGCATATTTAAAATRGGAACAAGCAACAGTTTAAAAAAATATAACATTTCTCCTGCTTTCTTCTGCTGATTCACAAAGCAGGGCAGTAATTCCCCTTTTGGGGACATGACTGGGACACCACCATTATTTTTCCTTGTTACTACTGCCACGTTATTAGAGAATTCTGTAATTATGTGAATGATAATGTGAGTCTCTGTGACCGATTGAGCCATGCAATATTTGATTTCACAGAATACACAGAGCTTTCTTGTGGGATTTACCACCCAGCCCACCTCACAACTGCACCCACCCACAGCACTCGCTGTCTGCAGGTGCCAGTGAGGACAGCAAGAGGAAATTAATGGCATTTTGACCATTTAAACCAAAAGAAAATGTGGTCTCCAAGCATTTAGGCTCATTTCCCAAAGCTCTAGGTGTGCTGTGTAAGGAACACAAGCCCCTCCTKTCCTACATGCTACAAACTGGCTGAGGATTGAGGACCAAAGAGGATTTTTCTGTATGCCAGGAAGTCAAGCAGCCCCTAACCTTCAAACACCATATTTTTTATGACTCCTTTGCAAGCCTAATTTTATTTCAGTGCCAGTTCTCCTGACCTGTGTACTCCAGATGAACCCATTTGATGGTCTTGGGTAATTCAAAGGAAGTCTCCAAGGTTCAGCTGAGACTTTGCAGGCAGAGAACAAAACCTGTGTCAGGCTGGGGAAGCGATCTGTAACCTGAGCTTCACATTGTTTTTTACCACTCAGCAGTTGAGTCAGCTCCACAGGGAGTTCCAGGCTGGAAAAGTCTGGATGCAATCCTGGCAAGGATGAAGTGATGGAGAGTCCAGCTCCCTGCCCACACTGTGGTCATTGCTCACTTTCCCAGCTTGGCTTTCTCCAGCCAAAAGGAGCCAGATTTGCTGTTGGGAAGGCACCGAGGAGCTGCAGGTCCCAGAATGTTTTCAGGGGAGCCTTGCACCTCTCGGGAAGCAGAGGAAAAGCCTCAGTGCTGTTTTCCCACTGTGCACCCATCACCCTTCCTTGTTCCAGGTCAGATGCTGCCAGCAGAGCTGTAAATCCTGAGCTTTTGCAGATGAGTGTCACCTACTAAAATCTCCTCTGTCATGGGGAAATTTTTCTTGCCTGTTAGGCTGACACACACCCRGATTTCTGGTTATTATGTTCACTCTGGCAGGACATCAGGAAACAAAACCAGAAACAGCATAAGAGAGGATTATGTCATCTTTTTCCTCTTGGCTGCCCACCACAGCTTCCACCCTCTAATCCCTGCTGCTGAGCGCCTTCCAGATGACATTGCTCTGTCCCTTCTGTACCCATCGCTCTCAGCATCATGGAGATGTCACACTTTGGTGACATTTARAGGSCTTTTTACACCAACCYCAGCACAGCCAGGTTTCCTCCTCCTGCAAGGGCTCAGGGATTTCTTTGGTGTGCTGACACTTGCCAAGGGCTGAGCTGGAGGAATTCCTCAGAGTCAGCCTTTCTCTGCTGGAAAAAGCAAAGCCAGGTTTCCTTCCAAGAAATGACTCCCCTGGGAAGAARATAAATTTGGAAGCTCTTGCAGAGATGTAACATGAAGTATTTTTACTTTTTAGGTTTAATTTTTTTAGTGAGTAATTCAGGGGACTAAACACAGCTGCCTGACACCCTCTGCGTCCTCTCACATGAGTACTGTATAAAAAATAAGCACATGTATAAAAAATTGGGGTAATATTGGTGCTGGACAAGCCTTTCTGTGACATCATCTGTGAGAWGTCAAGTACTTTTGAAAAAAACCCAAAACAGACAAACCCGCAACGGAATTAGGATTTCCAAAATCGATTTAGCAGGAGAGAAAATAAGCTGACTGTAAGTTTAATTCTTGCCATGCAGCATCCCTGGAGCACCAGGCCTCCTCTCCTCCCATTCTTGTGCTCCATGGCCCAACAGCAAAACTCTGTCTCAAACCATCCAGAAGGAGCAGAGACAGACCCTTGGCTGTCTGAGAACGAGCAAAGCCTGGGGAAAAATTTAAGGCAATTACATTTTCATAGATACGCTGATATATAATGAAATAACACATACATTTAGGTCAGACAACTTGCTTTCRGTTGACCAATTATTTATCTGCTCTGTGCTGCCTTAATTCCATTGGGGAATCCATTCCAGGGGGTCCTCAGTGCATGTGGAGCTCAGCTGAACTTTTCCATAAAAACCTGCCTGCATGTGGAACACGCAATTCCCATCTGTAAAAACCACACATTTTTCACATCTTGGTGAGGACAAGCTGTTGGAGGAGATGAGGTGGGACCAGCTAGCATTTGACAAAAAGGAAATCCCTTTTTTATTGCCTTCCTCTTAACTGGGTTAAGTTAATAACTCGAGGGGTGGAAAGTTCTTTTTCTGTTGGCTCTCAATGTAAATAAAGGCTGGTTCTGAAGATCAGGCGTGCCTGAAATCCTGGGACACATGGAGGTTTGTTAGCATTTCAGTTCCCCTCTGCAGGACCCTGTAGATCATGTTTACATTTTCCACTCTTCCTGGSCTATTTATTTTTTAAGAAAGCACAGTTGGGGTTCTCATCTGCTCATGTGTTCCAGTACATAAATCTGCTGGGCTTGTTTATACAAACCTTTCTGAAAGGGAAAAGTGGCCAGGACAGAGGATGTGCTTTTTTAAAACCATTTTTTTGTCTTCTTTGCTTCCTGCATCTGAAAAATTGCAGCTTGTTGAGGGCAGAAGAGGCTGATTCTGGCTGGGTGAAATCCTMCTGGGGCAGATGCCCCATCTGCCATGTGGGGATTTTGCATCACACCAAGAGCTTTCTGCACCTGCAGAAAGGGCACCCATCATTCCCATTACTGGGTCTTCACAGAAAGGTTRCCCCAAATTCACTGGGCTTTTTGGGCCTGATTGTTCCCTCAGTCAGTGCTGACCGTTTTCATTGTGCTCATGAGACCCAAGGGAAGGAGAAGGACAGAAAATATTTGGTAGGACAAGGAAGGGAGATGAGCCCTGCCAGGAGCCAGCCTGACCGAGCCTCAGCACCTCCTCTAGAGGAGCAGAGCTCTTCTCTTTGCCTTCTCCTTAAAAAATCTCCTTTCTGCCCTGGAGAACAGTGATGACATCACCTGTGTGATGTGATTTGCCCTCGCCCTCGGTATTTTCTGTCTCTTTGGGGACAAAGCCTGAGCTGCCCGTGGGTGTTCACASCAGGTGCCCGTGGGCAGCAGGAGCAGCAGGGCTGTAACCAGGTGGGTTTGTGTTTCCCCAGAGTGCCGGGTGATGAAGGGGAGCCCAGCAGGTGCCACGGGCAGCAAATCCTCCCCCACCCCTCAGAAGAGCTCAGCCAAGAGCCCCGCGCCCATGCGCCGCAGCAAGTCCCCGGCCGATTCAGGTAACCACCAAGATGGTGAGTGATTGTTTCTTGGTGTCTGAACTTAACTGTGCTCCAGGGAAAAGCACAAACTCCCTGTGTTTGCACAGGATATTCYGGTGTCTTTGGGAAACAAGAAGCTWTGGGGGCACTTAATAAATATTGAGATGGAATTCCCTGGTTGGCAAAGTGCAGTTGTGGCTCCCCCAGTCTCCTACCCCAACAGCATTTTAAAAGAAGTTTCCACTTCCCAGGCAGGAAATCGAGGCCCACAGTGCTCCCTGATGRTCCCTGTAGATACAGAGTGATTGAGAGTAACCTCCTGTGCAAAGCAAGTGCTAATTATTGTACAGGTCAGGAGCCGCTCCTCCTAATCATTAGTTAAAGTAGACCAGTGACCTTGCAATTGGAGAGCTGGTGATGGGATTATTGATGTGACACTGAGACCCTCATTCAGTAGYAGGAGAGAAGGAAAATGGGAATCCTAATGTGCTGCAGCAGCTTGCACCATTTGAAATGCCTCCCTCCTTCTTCAGCAGTGCCTGGCACACCTGGAGAGCTGCAGAGGCTGTTAATCCAAGGCTGGGCTGCATACTGCAGGAATTCTGGTAATTGATCATTTTTAGAGTCATGGRGAGTTTCTAGAGTTAGGATTCATGTCTCACCTGCCTGCCTGTTCTGTTCCAAAAGAGAACCACACAYGGCCTTTCACTGAAATGGCCAAATCACCAAAAAAGTCCATCAGAATTCCAGGAGAGCTTCACAGTTTGAGTTCAGGTGTCCCACAGCATCAACACAGGGGATATCAACCAGAAATCGCTTTTCACCTTCATGCTGACATTCTACATGTTGAATAGGAACAGTACACAACAGTTGTGTGGGTTAATTAGACATAAATAAGGTATGGGATATAATTAGGTATGGGATTATTAGATGTAAAATCCACTTGGCTGTAGTCAGAAGGATTTCCCCCAGGAAAAAGTTAATTTTTTTAGTTTGTGTGGGTGTTCTTCAGCTACCTAAAGAGACAGTGTGAAATTGGTTGGTGCATGCCAAGACTGTAATTTTTTAAAAAATTATTTCTCTCTAAGGTGATTTTGTCTTCACAGTTTTTCTTCAAGATCCCATTGTTGGCTCTGCTTAAACTCAGGCTTGCCATAATCTAAACCCCTTTCACAATCCCAAATGCATGGTAAAGCTGTGTAAGCACAGTGAAGGCATGATGGGAAATATTATGTTGATTTAAAAAAAAACCCCAAAAAGTAACATTGAGTGATCAGGGAACCAGCTCATGCGTGAGCTGTGAAACAGCCTTAAACTTTCTCCACAAGCATCAGGTACTGATTCCCCCCAGAACCAGATCTTAGTGCATGAATATMGAGTTTAATATGAAATGGCACCATTGTGTGCCTGATTTTAACTGATTGGGTGACTCATCTGATGAGCTTTAATGAACACACTTAGCAGAGCCTTTCAGAGGGAGATTAAAAAAACCAGAAAGGCTGAACAATGACCAGTTCCTGGAGTTAAGGTCAGTAATGAAGAACAAATCAGGTTTCTTTAATCTGTCCAGACAAGGGTCTTTTCTTGCTTTCCTGTAATTTCAATAAAAGAAAAAAATGGCACTGGTCCTGCTTAATGAGAATARAAAAGACTGAACTCTTTCAGCATTGAAAAATAGAAGACTCTTGTTTTCTCAGGACAGAGAGAAAAAAGAATACCATTTTGTATTCTTGTATTGAACTGGTAATAGATTAAGTGGATTTACACATCTTTTAAGAATCAATATTTACATTTAGATGGGTTTTGGAGTTATCACWTTAGAAAGGCAAGGAATTCTGAATGAAGTCTTATTAATAAAAGATGATCTGACCTATATTTTTTTTTCCCACAGAATACTCACCCATTTAATTTGTGAAACTATTTAAGAGCAGTTTTACTTCAAATATATTAAATATCTTTGCTATGTGTTTGCTCCCCCACCCATTTGTACCTTTTGTCTTCATTGTGTTCCATTCTGCTGTGGTTGTCTTCAGAGTTTCTTTGGTTCTGTTTTGTTCCTGTTCTTTCCAGTCCTTTTCTATGTAGGTTTCTGTATTTTTTTTTCCACCAAAGTCTCCAAGGCCTTTGTGACATCCCTGGGCAGGTTTGGAGGTARATCTTGGGGTGAGGGAAGTCTGAACTCTCCTCACAGTGAGCTGTCACAGCTTCATTGTGAAAAGCTCAATTCCCTTTAGGCAGCCAGAGCCCTCCAGCTCCCAGGATATCAAAAAAGCGAGGCAGCTCATCCACAGAAGCATTTTAAACGTTGGTTTCTTGGCACGGTGCTTTTCTCTTTACTTACCATGCAGTCATTGAAAKGAAAGAATGAATGAAAATTGAATGAATGAATGAAGAATGAAGAAGTGTCCTGCTATGAGGAGATGGGAACACACCCCAATCTCTGTATTCCCAAGGAAAATCTTTCTCCCTTCCCTCACCAACCCCCAACCCACAGATGTACTTTTAATCCATGCCAGTGAATTTCTGGCAAAATTGGAGTTACAAAGCTCCTGTGTATTTCTAGCCTCAGTTTTTCTTCCTTTTAGCTTTGCTAAAAAACACAGCTCAGAGCAGTGAAATCCACAGTAAACCACACCTGCAGGACACCATCCAATTCCTCCTCCTGACATGATGGGGAAACTGAGCATAAGGAGAGAMGTCTCTGTGCTGCTGCTCTGATTCCTGAGATTGGAGTAGGGTCAGCATGAAGTTTGGCMGGATTTCTTTAACAGACTGCTCCAATGAGAAGTCAAACCAAGCAAAAGGCAGAGCTAAATCTCAGGGGAGAAATTCAGGGGAGAAAACCATGATGTCATTCCTCMTTCTTTCTTTGTTATAAAAATATGAATTTATTTTACACACCAAACAAGGTCTGTGAATTGTATATAGGTTTAGCTGTATAAAAACATGTGCTGTGATAGGAGAGCTTATGATTTTTAAAACCAAGACAGAATCATAGGTGCCCAAACTGAAATTTGAAAATGTYTTTGCCCAGCTTTGCCTTGATTTGGCTCTGGGAGAAAATACAAGCAGGGCTTTGGGGCTGCTGCAGGACCTTAATGTCTCAGCCCAGGGGTGGAAGGGTTTGGAGAGAGCGACAAAAGCACATTGAGCAGGCAGCAGCAGTTAGCAAACAGCCCGGAGTGTCCGTCTGTCCGGGCCAGAGCGCTCCCCGGGGTCATTGGGGATGGCCGTGCTGGGAGGCAGCAGATGGCTGACAGGGCGGAGAGCAGCCTGTGTCTGCCTGTCCCTGCCTGTCCCTGCCTGTCCTGGCCTGTCTGTCCCTTCCTGTCCCTTGCCTGTCCCTGCCCATCCCTGCCTGTCCCTGCTCTCCCTGCCCGTCCCTGTCTGTCCCCTCCTGTCCCCTGTCTCTCCCCTGCCTGTCCCTGCCCGTCCCTGCCTGTCCCCTTGTCTGTCCCTGCTCTCCCTGCCCGTCCCTGCCTGTCCCCTGTCCCTTGTCTGTCCCCTGCCTGTCCCTGCCTCTGCCTGTCTGTCCCTTCCTGTCCCCTGTCTGTCCCTGCCCATTCCCGCCTGTCCCTGCCCATCCCCTGCCCATCCCCTGCGCGTCCCTGTCTGTCCCTGCCTATCCTTGCCCATCCCTTGCCTGTCCCTACCCATCCCTGTCTGTTTTCTACCTGTCCCCTGCCCATCCCTGCCCACCCCTGCCTGTCCCTTGTCTGTCCCCCGCCTGTCCCTGCTCTCTGCTC